GGAATCTATGGTGTAATTTTCAGGGTCATTGGGTGAACAAAGCCGGCGGAGACGGTTTCCGGCGGCGGAATTGGGCGGAGCCGGCGACGGAGACGGGGTTGGGTGTGGTGAGGTTCTGAGAGACGGAAAGGGGTAGGGGGAAATCTCCAACATTTTTATATTTAAACGACCCCCGTTCTGAACCGTCCGATTGGATCAACCTCGACGGCCAGGATTTAAGACGAGTAAACGGCGTCGTTTTGGTTATGCAAGGGCAGGCCGGGTTTGCGAAATTGGGCTATGGACTGGGGTGGTTTTAATTGGTTTGGGCTTGTATTATTTGAACATAAAATGGCCCAATTTGGTCTTTCTATTAAGACATCTCCTTTTAAATTTATTTTCTTTTGTTTTCTCCTTTTATTCCCGTTACTTATTTTTGTATTTTATTTTGTATTTTCCTGAGTTAATATAAAAACGCAAAAATTAAAATGAAACCTAATTTACTTCTAAAACAAGCTAATTAATTCCTACAAATTTGATTAAATCCTATTTAAAAGTAGACTCAACAATTAACAAAAAATGCAAAAGTGGGCTATTTTTGTTATTTTCTTCATATTTGTTCTAAAAACAAATTAACCACTAATTAATCCTAAAATATGAAATTAAATCCTAAATGCAAATGTCAAGTGTATTTTTATTATTTTTCATATGAATAAAAATGCACAAATAAAATGCAAACAATTAACATAAAATGTCACAAAAATTCACCAAAATTGCAAAATAATGGAAGAAATCATTTTGTTTGAATTTTTGGGAATAATTCATTTAGGGCAAAAATCACGTGCTCACACCACACATATGTGTGTGTGTGTGTGTATATATATATATATATATATATATATATATATATATATATATATATATATATATATATATATATATATATATAAAACTGTTGCGGCGTGCAACCCGATCCAATGAATATAATATATTTGTTGCGGCATGCAACCCGATCCAGTATAATATCTGTTGCGGCGTGCAACCCGATCCAATATAATATCTATTGCGGCGCGCAACCCGTTCCAAATATACGACTTACAGTAATCATAACAAAAACCCCGGCAAGGGATTAAACATAAATTACTCTATCCCGGCAAGGGAACTCAACAACACAAGTATACTCGTCCCGGCAAGGGAGAACCAGCTATAACCAATCTCAATCAACTTCTAAACATCTCCATTATCCCCATTCCTAACTCATAAATAACTTCTACGAAAATAATCTAAGTCTTTGCTCAATATCACGGATCTACTCACAATTTACAACCATAGAATTACTCAAGAATACAACGAATATCAATTTTAGACTCACGGTCATGCTCGACACCGACGTATAGATACTCTTCACCATCCCTATACGTCATACTCCACAAGAGACACATAACAAATATGACTCAACTCCTAATCCCTCAAGCTAAGGTAGACCAAACACTTACCTCAAACTTCCATGGCCAATTCAATCCTCAATAGCCGCCTTTCCTTTCTAATTCGGCTCCAAATCAATTGTATCTATACAATAATGACTTCAATATATCAATAAATGCTAAACAATGCGAACCCAATGCCTAATTATAGCTTTTCCATCAATTTTCCCAAAAACTCAAAAATCGACCCCGGGCCCGCTTGGTCAAAACACGAGGTTCGAACCAAAATCAAATCACCCATTCACCCAGGAGACCGAATATATAATTTGTTTTCAAATTCGACCCCAAAACGAGGTCTAAATCAAGAAAAATCAAAAAGCCCTAACTCTACCCAAATACCCAATTTTCTACCTTAAATCACATGTTTTAGGCCTAGGATTTCAATAGATGTTGAAGGAAATGAAAGAAAATAAGCTAAGAATTACTAACCCAAGAGGTTTTGGTGAAGAATCGCTTCAATGGTCGCCTAAGAGCTTGGAGAAGAAGAGATTTTGTGAAATTTCTAATGAATCCCGTAGCTACTGTTTTCTGAAGTTTAAAAATTTAACTGGGCGAAAATGCTCTATGCGATCGCGAAGAAGGCCCTGCGTTCGCGTAGGGAAAGGAAAGTTGCCCATTGCGATCGCGGACAGTGTATTGCGAACGCATAGAAGAAAATGGGCTCCATTCCGGGTTTGGCTTTTATGCATTGCGATCGCGGAAGGGAAATGCGATCGCATATAACAAAGGGTGGCTACCATACGCGATCGCAGGTAAATCTATGCGACCGCGTAGAACAAACAGGGCACCTGGAAACTAACTCTATGCGATCGCAGAAAGGCATATGCCATCGCATAGCACTGGATATCAGAACACCAGAACTGTTATTTTCTGCAACTTTTCTAAGGCTAAAACAACCCCGAAACACATCCGAATCACACACGGGCTCTCGGGGCTCCTAACCAAACACATGAACCAACTCAACAACATCATACGAACTTATCAGTGCGATCAAATCGCCTAAATAATATTATTATCAACAAATTAAACCTCAAATTCAAAGCATTTTTCCAAAACTTCATCAAGTTCCAAATTTAGGATTTCAAGTCCGAAACTCGTCAAACTACGTCCGATTTTAACCAAACTTCACAGAAAGGACTTAAACTATATATAAGACCTGTACCGGGCGCCGGAACTTAAATACGGGCCCGATACCATCGCTTTCTAATCAAGTTTCATTTCAAATTTCCTTAAACATTTCCAGAAAACAATTTTTCTTAAAAATTCATTTCTCGGGCTTGGGACATCGGAATTCGATTCCGGGCATACGCCCACGTCCCATATTTTCCTACGGACCCTCCGGGACCGTCAAATCACGGGTCCGGGTCCGTTTACCCAAAATGGTGACTAAAGTCAAATTTATTCATTTTAACATCAAAACTTAGCATTTTTCACAGAATTTCATATTTAAGCTTTCCGGCTACGCGCCCGGACTGCGCACGCAAATCGGGGCGACTCTAAATGAGATTTTCAAGGCCTCGGAAGCACAAAATTCATTTAAAACAGGTGATGACCTTTTGGGTCGTCACAACTTTTAACCATAAACACTTGTTCTTCCACAAAAAACTTAGCCAAACACCTCACGTTGAGGGGAAAAAAATACTTTTTTGTGAAAAAAACACTCTTCGCCCTGAAAGAAGCTTAGCCAAACAGGCTTGTTTGAGATAGGCCTTCTTTTAGAAAAGGTAGTCATACGATAGACTTTAACTGTTTTTTGGGACTACAGGGATTTTCAAGAGACATTTTGAAAAGAAACTTGATATTTTAACACGAATAGCTAATAGCTTTTGAAATTATATGTTGTGAAATAAAAGGTCGAATGGGAATAGCTTGCGAAAGACCTATGGCTTATGTTGAGGGATCACCGGACCCGTAAACTTCGGCATAAATCTTGTATATGTGTATATCTTGAAAATGGTTAATTTAAGCTTGCGTTTGGCCATACATTCCCAAATTTATTTTGAAAAATCTGATTTGGGTGAAGTTTGGTTTGAAGATAAAAATGTGTTTGACATAAGTTCTCAAAATATATTTCACTTTAAAAAAAATGAAATAAGACTTATACCCACAACTTCTAAAAACAATCACAAAATACCCAATAAAACCTTTATCAATAACATTTATTATATTATCGAAAACTATAGTCCTGAACATAAATAAATTTGGTACAAAATTATTATTTTTATAATGAACTACATAATACACTATCAGTAACCGAGAGACCGAAGTAGCATTATTACAAAATAATAAATGGTGGGCTCTTTTATAAAATATAAAAGTTTGGGACAATTTTTAAAATCGGAAGCTTACACAAATGTCTCAAATGAGTCTCAATTTACCAACCTCTAGCCATTAGTCATAGACTTACCAAAACTAGCCAAGTAAATATAAAAATTAAAAACCAAATAAATAAGGTTGTTTCTCTCAAAGAATCACATGCAAAAATCACCTTCCATATTTTTAAGCGTGATTAGCGACATTAGATGAAAGACGAAAAGGAAATTTCATGAATGAGGTAGCAAATAAGGTGATGAAATAGAAAAACAAATATACAATATTTCAAAAAATCTAAGCAAAAAAGGAACTTTTTCAATGGGTATAGTTGAAATTCATTGAAAATATATAGATTAAGTCAATATACAAAATTTGAGGAAGATTGGAGGTAATTTGGACTGTTTTGTATCAAAATTCGTAATTAAATCGAGTTCAAAAAATTCTTCTGCGACACATGTATCACGCATGTATCGCACATACAGGTATACATGGATAAACATGTGATACACAATTGATACAAATATGATACATATGTGGTACACAAATGATACACAGTGTGATACCTTTTCATGTTCAGTTTTACTTCGAATTTTCAATTCAAACCACCTCAAAACTTCACCAAAGCATCCCAAAACTGAGATTCAAGCTCCTTACATGTACCCAATCTATTCTAATAACACCCACTCAAAATAAAGCAAAAATTTGATATTTTTTTCCTACAAATAGCTAATTGGCTAATATTAGTAATATTTTATGAATTGACCAATTTTTTGTAATGAGCTACTTGTAAATGGACATAGCTGATAGTTTCCCTTTTAAAAAATGTAATAGTGATATTTTGGGCCAAACCCAGCTCTTCTTGAGCTGGTTTTGGATTTTGGGAATTCGCGAAAATGTAGATAAAATCTAAGGCCAAACATGTATTTGCCAAAAAAACCCAAATATATTTTAGCAAAATCTATGACTAAACGGGTCCTAAATCACTTGGCACTCTTAATGCTAAAAACCTTTAGGGGGCACTGATTGTACAGAGTATTGTGCCCCCCTCGCATTAAATCCCCGAGTCCGCCTCTGGGCTTAGAGATCAAGTTCTCAAAAGAAAAACATTATTCAGTGTTTACATACTCAGGTCTTTACTCTTTGTAAAGCAAAATTACCAGAAAGAAACAGAAAATAAAGGAAAGAAAAGCGAATCTACTCCAGCATAATTTAAAGATCTCTGTGAACCGAAATGCAGTGTACTCAAATTTCATACTAAACAAAGTTGGAATTGCATAATATACAAATAATAATACTATATGTAATTACAAAAACAAGCAACATATCCAGACAGGGATTTCTTATTGCATGCCTGATTTTTGTACTTACAATAGAGTTGTAAAAGAATGGAATGCAGTCTTTCAATGCAAAGTACATCCATTGTACAGCTCGGTACACAAAGTATCCCGCATTCACGCAGGGTTCGAGGAAGGGCCGCACCCTAGGGGTGTGATGTAGACAACCTACCCTAACGCAAGCATTAGTGGCTTCTTCCACGGCTCGAACCCGTGCCCTATAGGTCATACAAAGACAACTTTACCATTGCTCCAACGCTCCTCTTCAATAGTAAAATATTGTCAAAAGTTCTTGGACACATACAAAGTCTGTCAGCAGTTATCATCCCCAGAGAAAGAGCCAAGCTCCAGATCTTGTCGCTATCCTGCGCATGCAAATGTACAAAAAGTTAGGAAGCTTTCAGTGTCACCAGTAATTTGGTTTTCAGTAAAAGAGAAGCTTGTGCTAAGAATGATTTTCACCCTTTTCTCATTACCATAAAGAATCAATAAATGGCAAATTACTTCAGAATCCGACACGAGTCATAAAGATGGATAGTGCAAGTGCAACCCTTTAGGCCCAACAAAATATGACCTGATGCAAAAAAAGAAAAGGATGCTCCATGGTGACACCATTATCTGTAAACAAAAATGTAACTTGTGAGCTTTTCTCCCACAAACTACCAGTTTCCAGAAAGATTGGCAAATAATCAAAAGTAAAAAACAAAGAGTTCTAAATTGTAAGTGTTCAAGTCTCCAGTAGTATCCAGATGACTAGATGAGCTCAGGTAAAGAAGACTGCTGATAAAATGGTCTAGTTAAAGAGTACTAAATCGAGTAGGCAGAATTAATAACTTCAGATGCTCTAAAGTAGAAGCCATCAAAGAGAAATGCTAAAGAAATGATAGGCTGGCCCCGTATATCAAAAACATATACATGTAATACTCGCGTGGTAGCAGCTGTGCAAACACACTTGCGAGAATGGCGTTCAAACCACGTCACCTGTTTACACGTGCTTTAGGACAGCAAGAAAATAGAATGCAGGGAAATGAAAATGAATAGTCAACGAAAACTAGCACCATGGCCCATGACAAAGAGTAACAGCTATTTTATGAGTTTCTGCATAGTCAGCTTACAAAGAACTATGCAGGGATAAAATCATGAAACTTTGCTGAACATCCAAGAAAAATTCAATACTATGTATAAGAACCTTGAAATGATTAGATACCCCATGTTCCTAAATTGGCACTTTTGAAGAGAGAATCATCATTTTACTTTTTGATGAGTTGCAAACATCATGAAGTCATTGAAGATAGCTCATCGTTACAAATAATACTATTCTTGTAGAGGATGTTGCAGTTTCATCCTAGTCTGCTATCCATGCATACTTAGGAACTAACTCGTACCTTCATTTGATATCACTCAAATTTTGGATCAAGTCAGTAAAAGCAATGAAATAAAGGAAAGTAAATTCTTTTGTATTCATAGAAACTTAGACTAAGATCCATATAGATGATATCTACTGGTTGGAAAAAGGATATAGTCTTGTTACTACGTTGATTTTGAACCTATTGCTTTTCTAGGATTATTTTGACCTTATTATAGATTTATATGCTAGTAATAATATAGAGAACTTTTAATATTATTATTATTATTATTATATTTATATAATTTTTACTTACTTTTTACAATTATTTTTATTTGGCATGATGATGACATGAGTTGAGCTTAAATAGAGAAACATGTTCAATGAGGATTCATATAGCCGACCCTAACTGGTTTGGGACTAAGGCTAAGTTGTTGTTAGAAACTTAGACTAGTATAACTTCAAGTTTCGGGCTTTTGAAAATAAATAATTGCTGAGCCGAATTTACATCTCCAATCATGGAGTCTCCTTTTGTCTTGAACTTTGTCACTAAATTGACCAAGCAATTAAATCAGGAAAGTGAAGCAACTGAAATTGCCCCTGCTCCTCCCTGCCTTTTGCTTTCCTCAGAAAGAAAACGTAAAAGTAATAAAGTAACAGAGAGAGGTGCTTTGATAATGTTTAAGGACTCGCTTTGTCCTACCCATGTAACAATAGGACTTCCATATGAATCCTCTTGCAAAAATCTGTTTAAAGACTGTACAAGACCAGCTCTGTAACTGTGTTCTAGACAACCATTAAGCTTAAACATAATAAATATTTGGTGAACACTACTCCTCAAGCAAACTAGGGATAACAAATATCTGTCTTTTCATTTCCTTAGAGATGTGAGAGTAATGCACAATAATTTATTTTAACTCATGGTAAAGAAAGTAGTTTTATTTCTGAAGTAGCAAAAACGATCTCCACTGTCAAAACCATCAAAATCAATTGCCAAGTGACAGACTTTCCATATGTCCTTATTCCACAAAATTATCATGCAGATTCAACATGGATCAATCGAAAAAAGGGGAAAAGAAAGAAATGCGTGATCCTACTTGCCTGGCAACAGCTAATCTATCAGCAAGTAGAGAAGTTGCTAGCTAAATCTGCAAGCCGGTCTGCAAGGCTTTATGAACGTGATCCCAGCAGCCCAGCCTTGCCGCTAATGCTACCAAGGTTAGAAAATATTGCAGTTATTAACGAAAGTAATAGCAGGAAACTTAAACCGCAGATAAGAAGAAATTACACTTTTTTACCTATCGGAAGACGACAAACATTCAAGTGACAAATAATGGGACTAACACAACGCTGGCTACACTATTGCAGAGTACATTTGAAAGGGGAAATAAGTAAATCTAGAATATTATTCACTTGCAGGGGAGATTTCTCAAACGCTGGACGCACAATGGAAGAGCACATGACCACTAGATTTATGTATCTTTGCATTATTTGGTCACTGTTTCATTAATTTTTTAAATGAGCAGAAGGAATAAAATCATTTGGAGCTGATCACAATAAAAGACCAAATAAGACCATGTTCCAACATCTTCGTCGAAATAATACAGTACTCCAGAATTGGGTTTCATTTTCCAGTACATTCATTGTGATGGGAATCATAGGGTGTCAAATATTAATTTACACATTAGCCATCACATGAAGCAAAAATAACTTCCGGTCTCATCTTGTGTCTTGCCTATAGCCAAAAATCATGATCACAATGTTTCACGTTTTTTTACAAGGGCAGTGCTTCATGCATATTACAGAGTAATACTTAACACTTCTATTACGATCCTCTAAGGAAATATAATCTTCTACTTTTAAACTTAGTAAGATATATTTATGTAGTATGATTATCCAAATCATAAACAACTGAGAATCTAATATCCCTCAACTAACTGTTAACCAAAATCTGAAACTATATGGTTCGTACCCTGCCGCAGACAAAAGTCTCGCATTTAAGTGGAGGAGAATAGAGGGGCGGACCCCATTATCCACCGAGTTTCGAACGTGCACCATCGGCCCTCAAGGATTTCTTGGTTATCGAAAAAAGGTATGGCAATTGAACTTCCAGAATTGAAGCTTTATAAAGCAAAACATTGTTAGGACATGCCTTGAAACTCCTCATAAGACCAGCAAATTTACCAGACACTTCCAGGGTACATGCGTGGGCAGACTACTCAGGAACTGAAATTAGGTGGTGTTAGAAAAGACAGTTTCTCAACCATTCATTTCATTCCAATCAACTTATAGGTCAAGTGATATGCAACTTAAACAAAGTCAGAAATTCAAATAGATTTCAGGAATTTGACTTCTTACTTCTAAAAGTTTGAGAAACAGGTTCAAGAGAAGAAGTTTTGACAGATTAGAAGAGTAGGTAACTAGCAAGAAGATTAGAAGCACCCCAACCCAAACACCCATGGTCGCTTTCCACTATAGAAGTGGCCAACTCCTCCCAAAACGACCCCTCCCTACAGACCCGTACACTCTTTCAAAACCCTATCATGAACTCTATGTTTCTTTTACTTTGATTACCTCCAATTGTCTCGTCCCATAGAAGTATTATGTCCCTAGCATTCTCACAAGCCGGAACGGTGTCGTACTTAATCCACATCCCTCCCCAAAAAGTTCGTGTAATAGCATCTGATGTAACCATCATTTTAGTTTCCTGCAAGCATAGTAAATACGCGTTCTAATTCCCTTAACCCCGCCTTGATGGTGACCCTTTTGTTTGGGTCATGCATCCCCCTTACAATTCAAGATATAGTCTTAATACCCATAAGCTACTTATCCTTCAACCTATCCCCCTTCTCCTCTCAATGCCACCCCTCTCTTTCCCCCAATGCCTCCTATCATACACCAAAAGGTTACCTCTTCCTTATTGAGATTCCACTAGCCTCCTTCCCATTCCCACCCTTCTATCCCCTTTCCCATCATCACGACTCTTATAAACTCTTGTTCTATGTTTAACAACTCTATGATCTTGTCCTCCTTCCCCTTGAACTAAACACCTAAGAGTTCCCCAAACCTTAAGAATCTACCACCCACCTATTTAGTCATACTCTTTCCTCCTTCTATGATAACTAATGGGCGAGTATTTTCGTCTACCTCTACACTTGCCCCCAATATACACCCTCTCCCATAAGAACCCTTCTTTATCCCAACCATCTCCCCATTTTCTTACACCAACTCAAGGTTTTCCAAGCTGAAGGTTTTAGGTGGTTGTCTCAATAGTCTACAAATGGTTGGAAATCCTTGACGAGCCTTAGTTAGCTTGTCCCACTTCTCATTATAAGCAACTGCCTTCCCCCTGCTCATTTTATAATTTTGTGCTCCCGACGAGTCACCACTGATGTTACCCCTTTGGCACTAACTAGTTTCCTCTCTACAATAACAGCACTAGAGTTATGCTCCCTAGCCTCCCTTGAGTAGAGAAGAGGCCAAGGGCTTTTGACCCAACCCTAAGACATGTGACCACTCTTTGTGTTTTAGTAACCCGATTCAATATAGTCCTCCATGTCATAAACCTAATTCAAGGGCACTCTAATCTTTTTGCCATAGTTTCTAAATTTCTAAGTTGCTTGGGCTTGGGTGCGGGTGTTACGGGTTCGGATCTAGAGGTCGGATCCTTCATGATCTAAATTATAAGATTCGGGGATACGGATCCAGGTACGGATACGGGTGCGGCGATTTAGCTAAAATAATTCAAATATTTAAAAATAGAGTTATAGAAATATGTCTAAATTATGAGACATTATGTGAAAAACTTGCAAGGTATTCGAAAATATTAAACATGAGGAGAATCCTAGAAGGAAATAAAAGGAAAAGGACTGACATAGAAACTTCTATATATAAGGTATTTCATTTTCTCCAGTATCTATCCCGAATTCCTCTGTCGATTTTGGTCAACGTACCCAAAATTGGTTGACCAGATCCGGTATGGATCCTACACCCACACCACCCCACGTCGTGTCGACACGGGTGCGATACCGAAAGTAAAGAGTCCGAGTAACTTAGCTAAATTCTTCATCTCCCCCAATTTGAACTGACCGCCAAATTTACCCCTAAACATGCCCGTTCTCGGCATTTCCACCGTATTTGCCAACCATGAGAAACTCCCCCTCTTTTATGCACTGCCTCTCTCTCTCCCTCGTAATCCCTTCCCTCTCTCTTCCCTACCCGACAATCTTCTCTCACACAAGAAAGGCCTTAGTGTAAAACTCTGAAAATAACCAAACTTTGTACCACCCATCATCAACTACTACCGACTTAGGTATATTACCACCATTCCTCACCAAAACACTAACCCTTGACATGTCATGCTTGCTACATATAATGTCTACAAAACCCCAAACATGTCCCCTACTTTCTTGAAAAAGTCGAAACACAACACGTGTGCTCGTATGTGCAACTACATCGCCGCCAAACCTAGTGTCAACACATCCTAACATCTCACTCCATCTTTCAACCTTTAGAAAATTTCCATCAATCCATCTTTGGCCTTCAGAAAATATTATCGAGGTTTGCTTGTAGCTAGTGAATCTAAAAGGAAAACTCAGTGTCACAATAGGGTGACACTTGTCAAGCCAGAAGCTAGCTCTCATGCCTCTAGCGCCTATATGTAATAGCCTTTGGTGAGCCAACCCACTTTCCAACAATCCTGAACCAATATGTCCGCAGAAAGCTCTTCCTCCTATTGGTATACTTGTTTGACACCTTAAATCTTAGTTCATTGCAACCATTTACTCTCAGACAATTCTCATCACCCTCCATCTTTGGCCAGGTCACACCATCCTTAGTTATGAATTTTCTTGACTCCAAAGAGAAGAAAGAATCCCCTTCTCTAGCCATTTTCCACTCTCCAAACACTGAAATAGAGGGGGGAAAGCCGGTAGAAAAGCTGAAGATTCACCTCTTAGAAGAAAATACATCGCCGGAAAGTCAACGAAGGTGGGCTTACGCGCTGGCGCGTTGGCTTCACATAGGGGCGTGTGGACATCCAACGTAGGTCTGGTTTGTGGAGTCTTAGTCACTTGCCTCCTGCTATCTCGGATATGTTGCCGGTGGTTGGAAAGTTTGACAGTTCTCCTCGAACTCTCACCTCACTGTTTTGCTCCGGAGAAGCCATCCTTAGGTAACTACTAGCAGGCAGTCCATAATAATTTTCCTAATATAACAATTAAGATTCAAGGAGTACAAACTAGAAAATAAAACTTTAAAACAAATTAAATGGGATTATTCTAATTATGAAAAAATCATAATATCTTGAGTCCTTGACGATTAGCCAAGATATAACTTCAGAAGACAGTGCAACCTCCTAATATTCAAGGAAGAGGTACAAGGTTATTCTCCTCTTCTCTTTCAACATATTTATAGACCTCCCAATCAATCTTCATATTCAATTCACCGAGTCAAAAGTGCAGAGAGGAGAAAACAATGCACAAATCACATAGTTTCACTTTTCCACTGGAATGCAATAATCAAGTAATGTAGGAAGCATACAAGCAATCAAGAGGAGATTGGGAGATTCCCAAAGAGAGGATTATTGTATTATGGTTGCATTTTTTGCAGTTCTAAACTGAGTAATATCTTGTCAATCAGTCACGAGGAGCCTAACCTATAGAAACTATTTCCAAAAATGTGCAAGAGACCAGAAAGGTCATTCCAATAGATGGATACAGGAAAAAAACAAAAAAGAGACTAGAAGAAGAAGTTTCTAATCTCTTTGAAGTTCAGGTTTCGATAATTCGTTAGAAGATTTATATTGAATGCTACACAATTTCAGAAATGTATTACACCAAATTCCTCAAAGTCTTAATATAACACAGAATCATTCTAGCGTTTTAAGCAGAAGTAGCAGAAGGTAACAGTATTGGAACACTATTTCCAAAGATATTTGGTGGATCATTTGGAAGGAAAGAAATGCAAGATTCTTCATATACAAGAGGGACAATATTGCTATCTCAAACACGAATTTATTATTTTTTTTGCTTAACTTTTATTTCATCGGTATGTTTTTGCTTAAACTTGGCCACAGCAAATGTTTTATAGCCCGTTGCCATGGTAGATTTCCTTAGCTCTTTACACTCTCTTTAAACTTGTCTCTTTTTAGATGTAACTTCTCCAGCTGTTGCTGATATGCATCAATATCTCCACATGACTTGTCAAAAACAAAGTAGCAGAAGGTAACAGTACTTACATTTGTCACCAATAGTCACCACATGAGCATTTCCCATCCTCAAAACGATGAAATCGATTGTTATCCCTCACTATAATTACTCTTCTGGTGCACTTAGAAATAAACTTTATTGCATTGTGACAATCTCCACATACACGCAAGTTTTTCATAACTCTAATAGGCCTTTCAGGTGGAAAGGTGATAAGTGCAAAAGCAATGGCTAATCTTTCACTGTGATACCTGATAGCCTCACTCTTTTCCTGGCCAGCTACCTGTTGCAATACATAGTTTGTGTCTGCAACATACCCAGCTTGCTCTATGTAATCACCTAATTCATCCAACTTCTTATATATCTCCTTAGACTTCAAATGAGATCTATCGCCAGCAGCAAATGTGTGGACTTTATTTCCCTCCTCAACCCAACTCAAACCAGTTTCCTTTTTCACACCTCTGTCTCTAAGCATTTTCCTTGCTTTGGCAGCCTCTTGATATCTACCAGCAGCAGCATATGCATTGGACAGTAGCACATGTACGCCTGAGCTAACAGGACCCAACTCAAAGACACTGTCAGCCACATAAGCTGCCAATTCTGTGTTTTTGTGGATTCTACAGCCAGTCAATAGAGCTCCCCAAACAGACTCTGTTGGTTGCATCGGCATCTCCTCAATAACTTGAACGGCCTCTTGCAATTTTCCAGCTCGTCCAAGGCAGTCCACAAGGGAAGCATAATGTTGATCTCGTGGCTCAACTCCGTGCTTCTTCATCAAATCAAAGTAAAATTTTCCTTCTTGAACCAGCCCAGCATGGCTACAAGCATATAGAACACATAAAAAGGTAATAAAATTTGGCTTCATTCCAACACTCTCCATTTGTTTAAACAAGTCAAATACTTTTCTAGCGTGCCCGTGCTGAGCACAAGCAATCAACATCGCGTTCCACATTCCTAAATTCCTAAGCGGAACCTCATCAAACACACGATAAGCGCCTTCCACAAGACCACACTTGGAGTACAAAGATATCAAGGCACTCCCAACAAAACTCGACAAATCATAGCTCGTTTTCAAGCACAAACCATGTATTTGCTTCCCTAATTCGAGCAAGGTGGAATTCCCACACACCCGAATCACACTCGAAAAGGTAAAGTCATTGACATCCAAATTTTCACCTAAAGCAAGCTTGAAAAGCCTCAAAGCTTCCTCATCCTCAGCCATTTGAGCATACCCGTATATCATTCCACTCCAAGAAACCACATTTCTCTCAGGCATTTGATCGAACACCTCCCGAGCAATCTCAATCTTCCCGCATTTGGCATACATATCCACCACAGAACTCCCTACAAACACATCAGACTCAAATCCAATCTTCAAAGCAAAGCAATGAATCGATTGCCCAATACGATAATCAGAAAGAATCCCACACGCTTTCGTCGCGCAAGGGAAAATATGATCATCAGGCCTAACCCCATTATGCAACATTTCACGAAAATACTGTAAAGCAAGAATTGGTTGTTCATTCTGGGCAAGAGAAGAGATAACTGAACTCCAAGTAGTGGAAGACTTGAAATGGGTTTCATGGAAAACTTGTGCGGAATCAAGTGGGCGTTGGAGCTTTGAGTAGAAGTTGATTAAGTGGTGGGAAACAAGTGGGATTATTTGAATGCCTGATTTGATTATATGTGCGTGTAATGCGAGCCCTTTAGGTAAGGATCTTGATTGGGTTAGGGACAAGAGATTGTTGCATATGGTTCGGAAGTTGAGTTCGAAATTTTGTGGGTTTAGTGAGGGTTTTGGGAAATGGGAATGGGAGAGTGAAAGGTGGTGGGTTGTTTCTTGAACAGGTTGATGCACGAGTGGGTAGCTCATGAGAATGCAACAAGTAAATGGCTAAAGAGATATGAAAATGAGGATTTTGAGTTCCTACATGAAGCTTCGAAGTGTAAAAAGAAAGGACTTGGGCAATGACTTTACGTATTCTTTGTTTGGGTCCTTTCCATTTTATTCTTCCGTTAGTCGTTCTACTTCCTAGGGAACACACAAGACAGGAGACTCCTCCATTGCAATTTACAAATGTAACAAGTTTGTTTACGCGTAAAATGGTACACTTAGAATATGTACATAAGTGAACTAATTTGATCCAGAAATAAATAAACAATTGAAGAATAATACGATACTTATCCTCAGAATGTAGATAAAATAGCGGAAATAACGATTCGGGGAGCAAGACTTCCGGTCACAGCAATGATGAGATCAAAAACTAAGAAAGTAAATGATATTAAGCTTTGTATAGAATGTAGTATAAGTTTGCCACAAAATTCATGTCCTTCACAATGATAGTTGAACGCTCTATTTATAGCTGTGTCGAGGGAAAGAGGTCCTAGGATCGTTCCCTCCTTTAATGTCAATTATGAGGGCCATTGATGAAGGTATAACGGTTGAAATAAATGCCAAAATTTTTATAACGGGCTATCACTCTTAATGTTGTAGAATATTCTCTATTAAATGTTACCGGACGCAAAGTATTTATTACACCTTTATGAACTGTCACGACCCAAACCGAAGGGCCGCGACGGGCACCCGGTGCCTTACTCAACCGAGTACCAACGTAACATATCTTTCTTATCATACTATCAAGGGTAAATGAGATAGAAAACATGTCATGAGATAATAAGAATAAAACATAAGGGAATACTCAACATATGATGACCGAACATGATATACAAACTTATACATGTGACATACGGGCCTATAAGGCCGACATGACCATTTGTAAACTCAAGACATAGGCCAACAAGGCCATACAAGTATCCATACACCTGACATCTGTCTACAAGCCTCTAAGAGTACATAAAATCATAAAGGTCGGGACAGGGCCCCGCCATACCAATCAATACATATCCAAAGCATACTGACCAAATAGGCAACTCCGGAGCAAGTGGAGTACACCAACACCTTCGCTGAGCTGATAGCCTACTAGGAGGAATGTCAACCTGTCTATCGGGACCTGCGGGCATGAAATGCAGCGTCCCCAGGCAAAAGGGACGTCAGTACGAATAAAGTACCGAGTATGTAAGGCAGGAAAGCATAAACAAGATCAGTAACGTAAAGAGAGATAGAGGAGATACAACCTGTAACATCTGAGTGCGTCTGGGGGCTACTGACATGAAATGCATAATACATATATATACATAAGCTTTTAAAAAAATACGCCTCTGTGGGCATCATCATCATCATATCATACCCGGCCTCAAAGAGGACTCGGTAAAAACATACCCGGCCATCATAAGGCTCGGTAGAATCGTACCCGGCCACGTGGAGCTCGGTAAACCCAACTGATCAGTGGTTGCACAATAGGTGCCATACCCGGCCGACTATAGCGCGGCTCGGTAAGGTAAAGTAGATACATATATAATGCATGCTGGACTCATGGAGTCACGTTCTAAACCTTTTGGAGTGACATAAGGTCATTGCACCATCGATTAACATTATGTACATCATACCATCAATATGAACTTCACTAGGACTAAAGGATCATATATACTTTCTTGGAATAACTTTGTAAGGAAAGAATAACATGGACAACCTTAGTTGCTAGGAGTAGATTCATTATGAAATAGCGTATCGTTTATGTTCGTTTCACTTTAGATCATGCCAAAAGAATGAAGGAAGAGCCTTAACATACCTTGTATATACTGCCCCAATCTCAAGCTATGCAATTTTCACAACTCCTTAGTCTACAATAAGAGAAACGATACTGTAGTTATCATTCAAGCGTCATAACTATTATGTATCGACCACAACCTATTTTACGATGAAACGGACAGCACCTCCCCTATATATATGACTTCACACAATTCCAAACAATCACCAAACAGCCCAAACAACATCAATAATAATCATATTGAGCCTCCCAAAACAGTCCACGCACAACCTAATCACTTCATACATACGACGGCCACCGTAGTCGTGTCAAACGACTCGGAAATGTTACAAAGAACTACCAGCCCACAACCCTACATCTATATGGTGTTTTCCCACATCCTTCCTCCTCCAAAACTCCACAAAACAGTAGTAAAACACGCAGCCCAACAGCAACACAAAACAGTCCGCTACAAGTGAATAACTCGAACTCACGGCTTCCGATCACCATCCCGTGAGTTCTTACATGTATAGAACGAATTACCATGAATTCACAGAAGAATAAATGTATGAAAAAGAGCAGTAAACTCACCTTACTTGTTGGATAACTCATCCCTTCCCTTGGTTCTTCAAACTCTAGGTTTTGCCCCCAATTAGAACTTGAAAGAGAGGGAAAATCGATTAGGGTTTGTGGATAATTTTTGGGAGGAAGTTTGCAGGGGTTTAGGTCTGGTTATTTGTGATATATAATGAGGGTTATATTGCAGGATATAACCCTTTAAATGGGCTCTTTGGCCGACCCGAAATTTCCTATTTTTGGGCTATCATTTAATCAAGTAGGTGACACACCTACTTGTCACCTAGCAGCTTGTGCAGTCTCGCAAAAATGCCTGTATCTCTCTACTCCGATGTCGTATTGATGAACGATTTAATGCGTTGGAAACTAGACTCATAGATCTTTAATTTGATAGGTAGATCATCCCCTAATTCCAAGTATTTTGGGAGAAAAACTCAGTTACATTTGACCTAATTTTCAGCACATTTATGAATGGAACTTGTGATGACCTTTTTCCAACTTTTGTTCCACAACTCGCTTGACTTCAAAACATAACACCAACTATCGTACGACTAAAACGACTCATAATATAATCTCCTTATAATGTTAATAACCCTAGTATCACCCCAAAAGTACATGGTAAAACATTCCAACTTGTCGACTTTCGACGAAACTTATTTTCTTCAATTCGTTTAGCTTCTAAGCCTTCAAACCCTCTTGCTACTTGGTACTAATGATCTTAAATATTTGTAACCTCCACGTTAACATGATTAACTTACTTTGTTTTCTTCCAAATATAATCTCATTTTCGAGCTTACATCAATGACTTACGACGTACTCTCACGTATGAAAACTCGGGGTGTAACATCACATTCCCTTCCAGGGACAAGCGAAATTGCTGCGTCCAGTGACCATCTCCGTCTTGGGTTCCACATGTCCCTCCTTTAGATGACCACGTGTCATATCATATTTTTTTCTATATAGATAGTCCCCCTGGTTCCCTGTGACACAATCTTGTGTTACCGGAAAGTTGGTAGAAATACTCCTCTTGGCAGGAATTACTATAATTCTCTTTGCAGGCTTCTGTCAGTTGATTAGACGCACGTATCTTCGCATTTAATGTCCCGAACACGCGTCATCCCACGATTCAGCACAGCCTTTGCCGATTATCGAGGTAATCATTGCCATGAATTTAGCCGCCAAAAATTTACTTATACGCATCACCCTTCTCCTATGCACTTCATAATTTCTCAAACTTGCATCTTTGTTTTCCATCTTTTCTCTAATTCTCTTCGAACCAAAACCCTTCTTCTTCTTATTCAATGGCTTCTTCTTCCAAACGCTCTGGCTCTTCAAAGAAAAAGAGCAAGGCTGAGGATTCTGCTCCTCCAACGATAGGTTCCATTATCCCCCGAAGTTTTAACACCACAAAAGACTTCGAAAAGAAACTCTCTACTGCTAACCCTCATTCATGGGCTGTCACTAGGTATCCTTCTTCAATTCCCCTTCCAGTATTCCTACTATGGAGGAAGACTGCCGTTGCCATGAGTTGGACATCATTGCTCCAGATCTATCGGAGTGAGTGACCCTTATCAGGGAAGGTTTTACATATTTTTACACGTATCCCTTTACTTTGGGTGCGTTTTCTTTGAGCGGAGAGCTTGATTTCGTGATTGCGGAGTTTTTCCATTGCTACCAACTATGCTTGGCACAGGTGAGCCCTTTAGCGTGAAGGACGGTTGCCTACCTTCGACCCCTGTGCCAGGAAACTGGAGAAGAGCTATCATTAGCTCGTATGATGAATCTTTACTCCCCCAAGATTTTCCGGGAAGACATGATAAACCTCTGCAAACGTGGCCACCATGCTTTGCTGACTAGCATGGATGATGATAGCGACCGTGGGTGGACGGAACGGTTCGTTGCAATTGCTACCAATAATATCATTCCGTCAACGGCATCATCCTTTTCGGCCGCTTGGAACCATGCCCGTAAGACCTTTATTCAGTATATATTTCGCTAAATACTCTTCTATGCCTATATTGACTCTTCATCCTTCGTATGTTTCAGCAACTCGATGGACCCCACCGGCGGTGGAAGGCCTGGACCAGTGGGTTCAGAAGATCTTGGACGTTACGACGCCCAAAACTCGTTTGTGGAAAGAACTGGCCCTTAAGTACGGGTGGAAGTCCAAAAATCATGGTAATTTAAACTCACCTTATTTCAATTTTTCATGTGATGAACTTGACTAATTTCTTCCATCTTTTTCTTGAAATCAGGTCTACCTGCAGGCTCAGTTGTTCTCCCCGAGGAGGACGTTTTGGCTGATACTGCTGATGCGGCGAGGCTGCTTCAGGAGGCGCTTACTCGAGCAGGTGTCTCCGAGCCTGCTTCTGGCACAGATATTTCATTAGGGATTCCCCGGTTGGAGAACAAGCAACCAAAGAGAAAGCATTTCTCTGCGGCCAGAGAAAAGAATAAGAGGGCGAAGACTACTACCCCCGTGTCATCTCCGAAAGTCATGATCACTAGCCCTCCTCCTAGGCCGGTCATAGATACCATGATGATTGAAGATGATGGAGAAGCAGTGATGATAGGGCTTCTCTACACAGAAGGCGACATTCATCATCAACTCAACAGAATGTTCCGTCTGCTGAGTTAACTACTCCAACCGAGGACGACATCTCAGCGCTCTAGGGGAGTTTGATTTGGTAGAAAGTGCCAACTCCCGCTAACGGGTCCCAATAGCTGTGCCTGGTATTGCGAGGGCGAGTACCGAGTTCCTGCCATCTTTGGTTGGCGAGCATCCCACTAGCACTGCACTTG